ACCTACAATGTACCAATAAAAGAATTTAATACAAAAAAAATGTATCATTTGACTCAGAGGGCAGCTGGGGAGAAAATCCTAGAACAATGAGGGACTATGCAGATGAAAATTTTGTTCCTCCCAGGATGTCTTCAGATGGTTTAATCTTGCCCTGAAGCATCACAGCCTCACCCAGACCCTTGGAGTTCTGTTTGGACATGCTATTGCTGGCCTATAGGCAGGAAAACTAGGCCTAATCATAATTTTAATTGTGAAATTATTTTTACCCAAAATTATGTAGAATTGCTCCCAGCAACACATGAGCAGTGTTCATAAAGTAGCAAACAGGCTGTTCATGGCTAGATGACAAGCTATGAGAAGGGTTATGGTCACAGGAAAGGTAGACATACAAATTTGGGCCTATCCCAAAAGACTCAATACCTAGATCTCTCACTCCCACTCCCCTAGAGTATTGAACCAATTTTTATTTAATGCTATTTATCAAGTACTTTATATGTATAAGGTCCTATGGTAAGCCATTTGGGAAATATAAACAAAGAAGTAAGGACTTGGCTCTCAGGAAGGATAAAATCCAGATGGGATGGTTTAGGATATGATGCAGAGCAGAGAAACTGTGCTGTAAATAAAGCTCTATCAGCAGTGAGACTGAAGTCTGCAAAAGGAATTCTATTCCTCCTCAATTCCATGAAGACAGATAAAGAATAAAGTCAGGCAGATATTTACAAATAACTGGAATGAAGAGTCAGATATATTAGGATTTTTTGAAAAAAATCAGAGTTCCTGCATATCTCATTCTTTGTTCATTCTTTCACCCTCTCTGAATAAAACACAACTAACTGTCTGCAGAAACCACAACATCTGAATCTACCACAACATCGTGAGCTAGCAAAAGATAGGGAGTGCTTTTACATCAATCTCCTGTCTGATAGAGAAAAGTGTTTACTTAAATCACAGAAACACATCTTTTGCTGGAACACAGTGAAAATAAAGCAAAACAAAAAAATCTAAACTCCGGGCTCCATTCTCTGAAAAGTTTACAAAAATCTTTCCCTTACGACGTTACTTTGTTAAAATCTGCGTAATTAAAGAGTTCCAAGGCATAAGGAATTCAAATGTGACGTCTAAATTTTAAGGGAGAATGACAGGAGAAAGACTGTTAGTAAAATTTACCAATTGCTACTTTGGAAAGAGTAAACTTAGCAAATCCAACTCATCTTAGCATTGAACAGATGTGGTTTCACAATGGTGAATGGTCTCATGTCTCAATCTCCAGCTGCAAGGCAGCTGAGAAATCACTAAAGCCGTTAGAGGGCTTCCAAGGACATTTAAGTCAATTCACTGCCCCATTTAACATTCCATCTACTCATCACAATAAATGGAGAGTCAGTTCCCCTTTCAATGTCTCTCAGATAAGCACCTGCAAGCCCTCCCCACAGATTTCTTTAATCCATCCTTGACCCAAGCATACCCTTTCTGCAACAGGAGGAAATCCCCACTTGTTCAGCTCTCTCCACTTGGCAAATACTTGCTCAACATTTTCTTTATAGTAATGGAAGTCACAATATCTCAAAAGCGTATTTCTGAAAAGGTTGGGTCCTGAAATAAAGGTGTTTACATTTTCTTAGTATCCAAACAAGTCTCAAGGTTATAGTAGACTTCTTATATCCATTTCTCTCACTTTCAATGAAGCAAGAGTATTTACCCACATTATAAGCCTCTCATTTCTATTCTTTTTCTCTTTTCATCCAATTTTCCTAGTCTGGGTGATTTTCTTCCTGATATTTAGGTAGACAGTACAGCCTCCTGGCTGCTCTTCTTGTCTCCAGCCTCCATAGCTCCATCCTACACATCTTTGCCACTTAATTTTCTTAAAAAGCCAGTTTTTCCTCAATATGGATTTTGAAGACAAGAAACATAAGAACTTATAAGAGAATATGTTCATGACTGTGAAATTGGCAAAGGTTTAAAAATGGGAATTAAAAAGAAAAAGATAAATTGAACTTTGTTAAAATAAAAAACATCAACTCATCAAAGGAACATTAAGAGAGTGAAAAAGCAAGCTACACAGTGGGTTCTATACACTGCATCCGTATCTGACAGGAATAATAACTGAAATAGGTAAAGCATTCTTCAAACAACAAATAATTTAGATGTTCAGTAGAAAATAGACATAAAAAGATAGCCAGGCAGTTCATTAAGGAAGATATGCAGCAAATCTATGGAACTTCATTAGTCATGAAGAAAATAAACATTACAACCACAATGTGAACATTATACAAGGTATGCATGTATCAAAACATCACTGGTACTCCATAAATTTGTACCATTTCATATATCAATTTAAAAAAGACATCACAATGAATTGCTATTGTTCACCCCACCAGAGAAACTAAAAGAAAAAAGATAACATCAAGTGGTGGTACAGAAGTAGAGCAACTAGAACTCTGAAACCTACAGATGGGAGTGTAGACTAACACTACATTTGGAGAAAACAGGTCTATATCCATACCCTATATTCAGAAATCTATTCTTAGGTCACACCTGACAGAAATGTGTACATATTCAATAAAGTATGTACAGAAGAATGCCCATTCATCCAGCATTATTTGTTGAAGCCAAATACTAAAAACAACCCAAATTAATATCAAGAGTCCAATGGATAAATACATTGTGGTGTGACTATACTATGAAAGAAAGATGAACTGGAAACAAGTACGAAATAAGTACTAGTACGTGGAACAAATGGGTGAATCTCAGGGGGAAAAAAAGATGTTGAATAAAAGTAGCCAGGCACAAAAAAGAATACAGTAAATTTTGTAAGATTCAATTTATATAAAGGACAAAAACAAAGCTAATCCATAATGTCTGGACTCAGTACAGTGCTATCCCTTGTAGGAGATACTGACTGGTTAGGGTCCAGGGAGTGGCATCTGGGGCACTAGGAGAGTCCAGTTTCTTACTCTGAGGATTGTATGCATGTGTGTCTGCTCACTTGGTGAAAATTCATCAGGTTTTACACTTATGATTTGTGCTTTTTTCTGTATATTGTTTACATCTTATTAAAATATCAAGCAAAATAACATATTTTCTTATTTAATAATTTGCATGATTTTCCACGACCAACCAAACCAAGGCTCTTTTTTTTTTTTTTTTTGGTATTGGAGATCGAACTTGGGACCTTGCGCTTGCAAGGCAAGCAGCAGAACCACTAAGCTAAATCCCCATCCCCCAGGACTCATTTTTACACACACACACACACACACACACACACACCTGTGTGTCTTTATTCATGCAGTTTCCTCTTCTTGGAATACTTCTCATTCTCCGTATTCCTGTTTGATAAATCATATCTCTTTTACATAATATGACAATATACCCTAATTTGCTCAAAACAGTCCTAGTTTAAGGCTACCGTCCACCAATATTATTCAAAGAACCTAGACTCATTATAGATATTCAAGACAATTCTACTTTTATAGTTTTTTTATATCACATTCAATAATAAATTTCAGTGACTATTTTCTCACAACTTTCCAAAGCATTAAACTTAGTTTTCATAAAAACAACATTTCATATAACTTAATTAAAATTTATCCTGTAACACTGGAACAAACACTACTGGGAACAAACACTGCTGGCTCTTGGAAGCTCAACTAATAGAGGAGTGAGTTGGTTGCTGGCTGTACTGCAGTAGGTTTGTATTAATATCACCCACTAGGTTTTACTGAGACAGTGGGAAGCCTCCATTAATCTGTTGGATAAAAGAGCTCTACTATGTATTTCTTTGTTAAGAAAACTACCAAACAGGTCAGGTATGAAAACAAAGGTACCAAACCAACAAGAGAAGCATAGGAAGTTTTTGTTGGTTTGGCCTATAGTAAGACTCTTGCCCCCCTTCTAGCTAAGTATGGATTGAGTCAAAAGATTTAAAAAGCTTCAGGTTAAACTACATAGCTCTCATGGAACTTAAACCAGTATTTATTTTCAGAAGCATTTGTATTCTTTGTTTTTGGTATTGGGGATCAAACTCGGGTCCTTGGGCTTGCGCAGCAGGTGGTGAAATCACTAAGCTAAATCCCCGGCCCAGCATTTGTATTCTTATCCAGCCAGATATTTGGTCCAAAACCACACAGGAGACTGCATCACTGGGAGATAGCTCATCTTGGTGGCACTCAGAGTTTTCCTCTTGCCTTCCACCCTCGGGGAATGCAATGCTGGCATAACCACAGCAATCTGCCTCTTGATCGTTAGCCAGTCCCTTGATTGAGGCACTGCGGAAAGACAAAAAAAAATAATGGGATTAGAAAAATGAAAGAGCAGGATAGAGCCAAAGATGACATCAGACTTCTAGACAGGCTAGGAGGTGATGGGAAAATATTGAAAGAAAGCACATTCTTAATTCATGTCATCTTGAGAAGACCCATCCATCTCAATGCTAAATTTCTCTCCATGGGCTAAATGTGAAATTTAGAAAAATCTTTTCCATTAAATTGAGACTTAGCATTAAACACTTGGAGGGAAAAAAGTCCTAGAGATGAAATTTTTACCATTTAGCTGGCCAATTACCCAGCAGAGAAGACAGAGTTGCCCCATTTCTTTGAATCTGGCAAACCCATTGTACCCTGGCTGAGCCCTCCTGGAACAACTTGACCCAGAAAGTCTGGCAAGAGAGGAATTAGATCAAAGTGCTCTTCTAACTTGGATGCCTTTAAATAATGTCAGGGGATTAAAAGCCTTACAAGGATTATAATTCAATTAGCTAGCTCCTCTTACTGTTTTCCTAAAGCAACAATGACCAAATGAATTCATAAACCCTGAGACAGAACCACATCATTTAATTCTGTTTGTAAGGAGAATTCTTTTTATGAAGTTATTTTAGGCTGGTAAAATCCTTCATAGTCACTTCTTAGCTCTTCCAGAAAGTCTCAGAACCTAGTCATCATACTGGTCCTTCATGAGTGGAGGTAAAGTAAAAGTAGCAGAGACAGACATGCAATCAGAAATGGATAGAAGTTAAGGGGGAGAAATGATGTGATGGGTGGCAGGTCCTTTTCTATTGGATTCTGTTTCTATTGGAACCCACAAAACTCTATCACCCCACCCCAAACTACCACCACCACTAAACGAAGCCCTGGTGACCACTAGCTCAGTCATCCCTCTGCTAGAACCTGCCCAGGCTGCTGAAGACTCTCATGCTGTCCTCATGTCAGTGATTGTCTGTTGTCGGGAGCAATTCTACATAATTTTGGGGAAAAATCATTTCACAATTAAATTATGATTAGGCCTACTTTTCCTGCCTACAGGCTGGCTATGGCATGTCGACACATAACTCCATTTTTGCCTCCAGTCACAGCTGAGACCTCAATGGTCCCATGATACTGCAACACTCAAGGGCAAGATTACATCAGCTAAAGACATCTTGGTTCCTAGAGAACCGAGTAGTAAGAGAAAGAGAATCTCCTCCCACCTAATATTATAAGAATGCTCTCCTTACAATCCTCCTGAACATAGGAACCTCATGACCTAAGATCTTCATCAGCATAAGGTCCACATCAACATAGGATTATCACTGCCCCCTAAGTCACCCGATGCTCCCTCCAATTATTGTGTGTACCCAGTAAATAGTGGCTAGCTCAGAGAGTCTTTGTCTCCACCCACTCTGAGGCACTGACCTCCCAGCCCCCCATATACTTTGAAATTACACAAGACTCTGTTGTCTTTTCTTTTCTTTAGCCCTCACTGTCCCTCTTTCTAGGCAGTGGGATTGATCGCCCTCCAATTACCCATGACCTTTAATGTTGCTCAAGGAGCACTCCTGTTCTATGTCTTATAGCTTCGGAGTTAGACAGGCTATGAATTCCAAGCTTATATTTCATCTTTCAGCTATTCTTTATTAAAAAAAAAAAAGCTAAAGTCCTTTTTTCAAATAAATATAGAAAAAGGTAAAAGAGTTCTCTGACTAAAGCCAAAGAGAGGCAGAAAATTCCCACACTTCTCTTTGTCGCCCTCCCCTGGCAGCCTCAGGAGACACTAAGCAGAGAAATCTGGCTTCTTAGAACACAATGTGGAAATAACTGAAAACAAACCGCCTGGCAGATGTGGTCACAGGAGAGCATCAAGGGGCTTCTGCCCACCTCCAGAGCCCAGTCCTTGCTTAAATGGCCATCTGAGGACAACTGAGGTTAATCATTCAGACACTGTTTGAAAATGTACAAAAACCCTATTATCTTTTACCCCCCAAGAACACCACCTATGATGAAGGTTACTGCTCTTGGTACTGAAGAAAGAGAAAATCAAATTCTAGAATCCTCTGAATTACAAATGAATATAACATGGGAAACAAAACAAAAACAAGTATGGTAACCTAGATGGAAACTTCCCATAAGATATTCTGGGAATATTCTCAGAAAAGTAAAGATCACAAGTCTCAAAATGAGGAGATAAAAGATCACTAGCTCTTCAAAAGTAGGTGAGAAATTATCCAGCTTCTGTGGGCTGAGGGAGGGAGGACCTCAGCAAAACTCATGATCTAGAGGCAAATGTCTGCTCTAACCTTCCCCAGTATGTCCTCACTGTAGGGCTGGGAATCAAGTGTCAGCCTCATCAGGAGGAACCAGGAGTTCAAAGAGGAATAGGAAGAGTAGACAACAATTTACATAGAGAAATGAGAGAAGGCTCAAATGTGCTGGAAAAAGACATATGGGAAAGTTGGGAATGATACCATATAATCCCAAACTGCCTACTTCTGTCCTCCTGATTTGTAAAAATGTATCATTTTGAGTCTGGAAGGTATAGCTCAGTGGTAGAGTACTTGCCTTGCACCAGCAAGGGTCCTCAGCTCTATCCTTAGCACCACCAAAAAAAATCAATAAGACAGATCCTTTGCAAATAAGCACAATGTGCTGTATACATAATTCACTTTCAATGAGAATTGTTACTTGGTTTTAATAGTGTGCTTGTGCCAGGCATGCCCAGCAGCCTCCAGCTTGGCTGTGTGCTTGGGCAGAGCAGGCGCAGGCTGAGTGTGCCCTGCTCAGTCTGGATCACTCCACCCACTTGCGAACAGGAGACCAAACTGGTGAGGAACCCCCAACTCCGGCAAGCCTATCAGCCTCCACCTAGGCCATGCAGGTGCCTGCAACAACAGCCCCCACCCCTCTGCCTCTTGGCTGTAGTGCTACTTGGATCCACACTACAGAGGCAAAGGGGGGGCATAAAGGCCATTGTCCTGAGCTGCAGAAGTGAACAACAGAGAG